TGAGAGAGGCAAATGCAGGTCTAAGCAGAAATCAAATGATAGAGATGGCTCTATAGACAACAAGACGCTGTGTAGTGCCAAGTTGTGAAAAAAACATTGTATTCATCTTTGCATTGCCTTCCTTCTGATCCCAACATTAGGAAAGAGTGGATGAACTTTATTTTTAATTAAGATCCAGACCACGTCAGTAAGAACTTGGTCCTTTGTTCACTTCATTTTACTGTGGATTCATTTGCAAACAAAGCACAATTCAACACAGGATTTTCATAAAGATTGAAACTAAAAGACGATGCAGTGCCATATATATTGGATCCGAAAGTAATGCCACACCACACAAATGTGAGTAACTGTTTTTATTACGTGGTCACTATTGCTTTGTCTGTTATTAGAGATCGTACTGAATATTTATGCATTTTTAACTTAAATCACAGCAGCGTCCATTTATGAAGGATGTAGGCTGTCAAACACACACAACTGTTAGCCAATCATACCAGTGGGCGTTTACTTCTAAGTCTACAATCAACCACGCCTATTCAAACAGAGTGTTCTGATGAGGGGGGTCAAAACAGGACAGAAAATAGCCTATTACTTCTAAATGATTGTGTTTTTTGATGTAAAAATGTTGATAATGTTATAAGTGGACTATTAATAAAATAATAAAAAAGGCAGTTCATGACCCCTTTAAATCACATTCGTCCTCAGAAGCACTGGTTATTATCGGTGCTTGTTTTCAATATCGTGTTGACATATAAGTGTCCTGTGTGAAATCATATCTCATGAAGTGAGGCTGTGAATTGGAGTTTATAGGCAATTTATGTGAGGACACCGTGGCGTCTAATTATCAATCTGAGTGAGGCATCTGTCTGCACAGATGTTCAGCAGAATATGCTTTAGTACATTTACTTCATATAAAGGTAACCATTGCTTCTTTTAAGTGTTCGATTAAATTACATTTTTCTGCAAAATTATTTTTCTCCCTGTCCTTATGACAATCAGCAGACAAGGCCAGGCAAGGCAAGGCAATAATCAAACTTGCTCACCTAAAATATTCACTCTCCCTCTTATATATTAAACTTGATTCATTTTAGTGAACCAGCTTGTTTAGAAAGTTCATTTAAAGAAAGAAGTTAAAAAATTGATTTTCTGCATGGCATTGTACATCTAAATACCAAACAAGGTTGATAAAAAAAGAAAAAGGAAGGAAAAAGAAAGAATAATAGCTCCAATACCTTTTATTAGTATCTTGTAAGCTAAATATTTTGTCAAAAGGCAATTTATGTGAGGACACCGTGGCGTCTAATTATCAATCTGAGTGAGGCATCTGTCTGCACAGATGTTCAGCAGAATATGCTTTAGTACATTTACTTCATATAAAGGTAACCATTGCTTCTTTGAAGTGTTCGATTAAATTACATTTTTCTGCAAAATTATTTTTCTCCCTGTCCTTATGACAATCAGCAGACAAGGCCAGGCAAGGCAAGGCAATAATCAAACTTGCTCACCTAAAATATTCACTCTCCCTCTTATATATTAAACTTGATTCATTTTAGTGAACCAGCTTGTTTAGAAAGTTCATTTAAATAAAGAAGTTAAAAAATTGATTTTCTGCATGGCATTGTACATCTAAATACCAAACAAGGTTGATAAAAAAAGAAAAAGGAAGGAAAAATAAAGAATAATAGTTCCAATACCTTTTATTAGTATCTTGTAAGCTAAATATTTTGTCAAAAGGCAGCAAAAGATGTAGAGATACTGAGCTGGTTCAGAAAGGCAGTCAGAATGAATCATTCGTGAATCTGACTAATCCTAACGCATTAATGAATTCAGGAGATGCTCCAGTCCGCAAACAATTGAAAAATAACGTATTTGGAAAAAGATCCTGCACTTTCTTGAAAATATCTCCTTTGCTGAAGAAATAAATTCCTGCAGAAACACAAAGGTAACTACATGTACATAGACCTTTTTGGATGAACTGTCCCTTTAAATTATGAGTAACTTGTAGTGTGGTGAGCAACAGTTTCAATAATTGAAACATTTCAGAAGTTACACTTATTTACTACAGCAAAACATGAATGTTATGCAATGCACCTACATGTGCACCAGCCTTTGTTCTTCCCTCTAATATTATTTTAATACCATGTTAGACAAATCCGCTTCGCACTGTCAAGCTGTCGCTGACTTGAATCCCAACAAACCCTGCCTTTCATGCGCTGCTCCTGTGGGGAACCGCTCTGTGAATAGGACGACGACAAAGCATATTTTTTTTTCCATGGGAATGCTTCCCATTGAAGTGAATATCCCATCACCAAAGGCCTGGAACTAATCACACTAACGAGTTCACTAAGGCCACAGATTTTCTGCATGGCATTGTACATCTAAATACCAAACAAGGTTGATAAAAAAAGAAAAAGGAAGGAAAAAGAAAGAATAATAGCTCCAATACCTTTTATTAGTATCTTGTAAGCTAAATATTTTGTCAAAAGGCAGCAAAAGATGTAGAGATACTGAGCTGGTTCAGAAAGGCAGTCAGAATGAATCATTCGTGAATCTGACTGATCCTAACGCATTAATGAATTCAGGAGATGCTCCAGTTTGTTAGACAAATCCGCTTCGCACTGTCAAGCTGTCGCTGACTTGAATCCCAACAAACCCTGCCTTTCATGCGCTGCTCCTGTGGGGAACCGCTCTGTGAATAGGACGACGACAAAGCATATTTTTTTTTCCATGGGAATGCTTCCCATTGAAGTGAATATCCCATCACCAAAGGCCTGGAACTAATCACACTAACGAGTTCACTAAGGCCACCTTCTGCCAGTGATTGGAATCACAAACACCCACCGAAAAAAATAAGCAGCCAAACTTCAAAAATGAAATCGCCAACGCTCTCTGTAAACGCTAATGAGCAACAAAGTGATAAAACACATAATCTGTGCAATGTGGGCTTGTGCGCTTTGGGAACATTTATGAACGCATATATGCCATCGCATCCCATAATGCCTGACCTTAGACAATCAGCAGCCCAAAAGCAAAGTACGCTGGACGAACTATGAGCACGGGGAGTTGAGATTCCTCTCGCACACTGGCCTATGGGCACGGAGGCGTCGCAATGTGGAGGAATTTGAATGCAAATGCCTCTAGAGAGGGGAGCCCCCACGTTGGCATTCAGTTCCTGTCAGGCACAAAGTCTGTGCCAAGCACTCTTCTGAGAGGAGGTGACAATGAGAGCTGTGAGAGAGATGAGGGAACCTAGAGTGTCTGCTGGGTTCCAGAGCTGACACTCATGGTGCATTGTGGGTAGGAGGGCAGACAGGAGAGAACCGAGCACCAAAAGGTGGAGGAGGGTCCTGAAGAAGTAGGACAGGGCTAATAGCGGAGGTTTAAGTCAAATAGATCAACTGAACCAATGCTAATTCTGAACCATTGCGAATAGCAAACACTTACAGAATTAGAAAGGCCAAGAATGGAATATGATTGTCAAGAGTCTGATTTGGAAAAAGTTCACAAGGTAAAATGTACAGAAAGTTCAAATTCAGTACACTCTTATTAACCTATATATTTGGATTAGACCAGTTTTATTTTCTTTATGTTCTCTATTGTTAGCATTAGCATTTGCATTATCAATAATATAGTTTCTTATACGAAGAAAGATACATTATTATTATCATCATTATTATCATCAAGCTCTGGTTAAATCAACTTTATATTCATATAACAAATTATTATTATAGATGATATTCAAGTCAAGAGATTAAAAAAATATTATTTAACATCACTGAATTAACCTAAATAGATCAACAAATCATATTGTTATGGGTTAATCAGGTAGAAATAGCTTGTTAAGGAAATTAATGATGATAATAATAGAAAATTAATAATAATATAATTATAATTGTTGTTGTTGTTGTTGATAGTATAGTAGACGTAGTACCAGTATAATGTAATTTATTATTATTATTATTATTTTGCAGGTAGTGATATTGTAATATTTATATTGCTCTTTAAATCTGAAATAATATTACTTACAATATTTATTAAATAATGTTACATTTAGTCATATAAAATATTTAAAATCAGAGTATTAATTATCAATAATAATGATGATTATTGTTGTTGTTGATGATGATGATGACGATGTTAGTATTATTTAATAATATGCAGGTTGTAATACCATAATAATGCTCTTCATTTCTGAAATAATATTAAACTTACAATATTATGCTTACATTATAATATTATGCTTACAATAATTAATTTTACATGTAGTAACAAAAATAATATGATTTATTATTAAAACAACTAAAACAAACAAATAAATAATCAGTTAAAATAAAAAATAAAAGGCTATCAGTTTAAATTCTATAAAATCTATGGAAATGTATCTAAATGATGTTCTGTGGAATTCTCTGAATGCAGGCCGCTCACTTCATCTCCTCAATGACTACATAACACCCTGCTGGCTCCTGGACTGTGACGTCAGAAGTGATGCACAAAGGTCTTACAAAGAGACTGCAACTGATCCAGAAAAACTTAGCTCTGCAGTGCTGCTCAGAGGAGCGTGTACACTCCACCACGCACAAGTTATCGTGTGAAACGTTTCACTGCACATGCAACACTGTAAATACGTAACGTGCAACATTCAGTGTCAGTGTAAGAAAAGTTATTGCCTAAAGTCTGGCAGCTCCCTATCAAACAGCCTCGTTACACCTCACAGTAGAACATGATGCAATATGATGCATGGCTCTCATCCAACCAGCACTGACCTAGACCGGGTGGCATAGAAGGGGTATTTTTCTAAACCCACACAAAACTGATGCATGAATGATTCGTCTCGTGAAATGTACGTCCATGCGCAGTAAGTTGCATCAATTTGAATGCATGTTCCATGTTGCCCACAATGCGTGTCCTGCAAGATTTACTAATTGAGGTTGAATGTGGACTGTGAAAATCACAACTGGCTTGATTTAATTAGTATCTATAGTTAGAAAAGAACTAAGACTAACCTGAAGGAAATGGGATGGTGCTCCGGTACTAGGGACTCGATTTCTTCTGCTCTTCTCACGCGTTGCCAGCAGTCATTTCAAGGTTTGCTTTTGTCAGTGAAGGCTATGCGTGTGTAATCGCGGCGGCCAGTGTAGAGTGTGTAACCCCGTCAAACAAATATTCCGCAGCCGCGCAAACTGCGTTGTTCGTGAGGCGCGGAGACTGGACAGCTCCGGTGCTGAATTCTGCTCAACTTTGCTGTGGACTGAAGACCGTACAGCTCGGGTAAATGAACACAAGCCTGGTAAAAGTTGTGTCTGCTGCTTCTGCTGACTAGCCCACTAGATTCGCGAGGGTCCAATGTTCTTCGAGCCTCTTCACGGAACTTGTTTTCAGCCTGCGAAAGAAGACGTTTCATTGGTCTGTTCAAATGACGTTGGTACTAGGAGATGAGATGAGCCAATACATGGAGTATGGATACAAGACATGCACATAACATCGCCTTGTTGATTTTGGGGTTGTAGATTATACTACTATATTTTCAAAAACCAATACTGAATATCTAGACATACAGGATGTGCACATACTACAGTCTTGGCTACAAAAACTATTAATTGAATAATTATACACAATTAATTTAACTCACTTATACCCAAAAACGGAGCATAATGTAGTCACATTATATAAAGTAAGTTGTCTTAAACAGACCTTAAGCCTATGATACACGGGGCAACTTTTTGAGCAATTTTGCAGGGCAACATTGCTTCAACGGGCAACCAAGTGAGACACAGGGCCCACGAATGATAGCCAGATAGAAATTTGTTCCCCATTCTCAATGAAAAAGTGCCCAAGCAACATTGCTCAAAAAAGTTGCCCAGTGTATCATCACCTTTAGTCAGGTGAGCACCATATTTAATCTTTGACAAGAATGAAAGCGATGCTGTGAGGGACTGAAGTACAGTGCGTTCAATGGATTGTACTGTTGTTAAATAACATCCCAACAAAAACAAAAGTTGTGAGTTGTTAAATTATGTGATTTAGGACCTTTATACAGTGCGTGTCATTGTAAAGATTTTATTCTTCACAGCCTTATTGAACATCCGTGTTGAATTCAATATGGCGTCTAACCCGATTAAGGTCAATAGGCTATTCAGCACAATTTAAACTGTAAAACAATTATGAAAAACTAAATTCATGAATAAAAACAAAAAAAGTAAAAGGCAATACTAACAAAAATATCAAAACATTATTTTGACAAATAGATATTGCAAGTAATAACTTATATCAAATTATGTAACATAAAATATGTGACAACTTGCCCCAGTCTTACAAATATTAAACACATCCTTGTCTGTCCAACTACAATGTTCATTTAATGCACAGAGACACTAAAGTTCTCAGAATTTCTCAAATGACCAACCAGAATCAAGTATCCCAGAGAGGTCAAAACTTAATAAAATTTCATAATAGCATATGCAATATAATTAACGTTTATTTTACAAACTACTGACAAAACTCACTGTCTGATCTTCAAACTTTCTGGCCAATGGGGCAAAGTTAAAAAAAATTAACAAGGTTTTAGATATGTTTATATATAGTATGAAGGGAAGTGATAATTTATGGGGTGTAACTGGTATTTATATTTCTTATATTACATATTTCTATTTTATCTTTTAGCAGTTAGCCTAAACAGTCCGGCGACATGACACATTTTTAAAAGTAATCCATGTCTAAGTATGAGTCATATAATTTACATGTAAAATATTTCAATCAAAATATCAATACTAATGAAAAATGCGTCGATCTATCACCAATAATCATCATGAACAAAATAAGGTTGAGGCTTTACCAAATGAGGCTTGAATAATTAATGATCCAAACAACCCTAATTTGTTACATTTTGTTCTTTTTTGTACAGGTAATAGTTATGACCACCAAAAGTTCATGGAATTCTTTCTGAACATATACACCTTCATCAAGATCTCAAACACCCATGGACATTCAATCCTGCATAGTTATGTTCAACACTTCCCAGTATGAGGTCCCAGTGCATGCTGGGTCAAATGGAGACACATGCATAATTAATGCTGAGGTAAATGCACATTGAGTGATGGATCCCCTAGGGACCACTACACCTTACTGTCAAAAAGGAAATGAGAGAGAACATTGTATGCTTATAAATAATACCCTGTAGCAAGCCCAAACTCATGTTCAAGTGAATATTACTTAGTGATATTACAGGCAACATGGAGAGGCTAATGATGCTAATGAGGCTGAATTGTGAATTGTGAACATTTTCATGATTTAGGACCTTTAAACAGTATGCTGTGTATAAAGTCCATAAAGAATTAACAGATGGTAGCAAGCTACAATCATTCAAGTCTAGTTGTATGGAAAAGTTATTTGACGTAGGCCCTGTCCTTTGTCCAAATCCTGGGAATGCGGATTCGGCTGGTCCTGCCTGAAGCTGAAGGCAGGAGTGGAGCCTGTCCCCTTCGGCTGGACAGGGAACCTGGTGGTGGTGGGGAGGATGGAGGGGAACATCAGCGCCATTAACTGCGAACATAAAAGTGAACATTCGGTACTTATATACTCCAAGTGTCGAGCAGTGATTGGCCAGAGCTAATAGTTATGAACGAATGATGTGGCATTCAAGTTTTCCAAGCAGAATCTTCGCGGAAGCTTTCATTTCCAGTCATCCCTGATTTTCTTTAAAAACAATAGTATAAAGCAAGGTTATGAGGCATTTAGAGTGGAAACTAATGGGGGGCCCATTTTTGGAGGATTTATAACATTAATTCTTCTCATAAAATGTGTCTTTTTTGAGTAGTAAAGTTATTCTTGTCCTTTTTATGGTTGTTTTAAGGGTTTTAGGAGGTATGTTGTCATGACAATGGAATTGAAAATTTGAATAGTAAGCAAGTTTTCACACTAATGTCATGTTAATATATTATTCACATATGATTTACTTCTTGTGGCTATGCTATTGAAATGGTATTTTAATATTTACAAATAGAGTGGTGCAGGTATGACATCAGAACCTGGAAGACTAATTTGCTGCTGGTTCCTTTGAGATTTTCCTATGGGGAAAAAATGCACATACCCATACCGAAAACACAATTTTTGAAGCTGCTATGTTTATTTTTGAAAACACGTATTTCTAGATCAGACTGTTTTGGGTGTGATTTTGTGCAGTTTATGTGATCGTCAAGTTATGTTTACCACAAGCTTTATTTTACTCATAAATTAAAAAGCCCCATAGAAAAATCTCAAAGGAACCAGCGGCAAATCAGTCTTCAAGGTTCTGACATCATACCTGCACCATTGTCCCCATTTCATTCCATTGTAAGTGCCTCACCGTAACCCAGATTTTAGCTTTTTTAAATAAAAATATTAATTTTTGTTCAGTGTTGTCAATCAAGCTTAAAACTTGTACTGAACCCAGCATATTGCTTTAAAATGGTAATCAGCATCTATGATAGCTACACGAGAGTGTTTGGCTGGAACATTTTAGTGAAAAGTCACTGTTTGTTCTAAATTTGTTTATTTGCTTCATTAGAATATGACACACGATCAATAGCTGGTTATAGTTCGGCTTATGTTTTTGTGTTGTCTGGCGGCAAAAAGCTACATCTTTGTCAAGTTTATATTGGGTGAAAAGATATTATAAATGCTTCAAGGGCAGCCAAACTTCAGTCTTTCAACAAGTGCTTCATGAACACTTTAATATTGACAAATGTTCCTGACAAGAGCAGAGGCACAGTGGAGCCAGACTCGGTGCTTTCACATCGAATCGTAGGGAAGACAGCCATTGCACTAGCTCCATCACCATTAGCAGCCCATCCACAGCGTGATCTCTCGGCCATTAGTGTTCATTTGGCAAGACTCTGGGGAGGAGCTCACCATCAGCCTCTCTGCTAACAATCAGATGAATGAGAATGCAGTGCTGAAAGATGCTAGTAATGGAGACTTCTGTTTGGCGGACTGTGTATGCCATGGTTCGGACCCAAAGGATGAATAGGACACACCGATGTTCTCGTTTTAAACATTCATCTGCAGCACTGGGATAATATGGCTCTAAAAGCATGTTTTATTTTCACTAATCGAGGGTTAATAAGGTTAGAAAGCAGAATAAACCTCCAAATAATGTTCTATCAAATTTGAAAATAACCCGCATGAAATTTTTCTACCCTCTAACTGTAAACCCCCAATTTTAAATGTCTTTTTAGACCCAAGTTTCATGTTGTTTTATGTCACGATCTGCCATTGTTAGCACACTGTAGAACTACAGGAAAAATAGGTTCAAACAATATCTATACTTAGACATAAAACTCAAATAATCTATAATCTATCAATATTTACTCGCCCTTCACTGAAAAAAACACTAAATAATTTACTTAATTTTTCATTTGCAAATTTTTGCACATATTTAAGTAAAATCTAAGTATGAAATTAAGTCAAATCTATTTAACTAAGTTATATTGTAACGTTGGGAGGCGTGACAACGGAGATGTGGATCCAAATGTAGCTTTTATTGAAATCGCAGTCAGACAGGCAGGTGGTGATGTTACATTCTGTGCCGAGGCTTCGGAGGTGTGTCGAGAAATCCCGGCAGCTTTCAGTGAAGCGCGTATAGTATGGAAGGGGCCAAAAGTTTTACCGCTTGTATCCTTTAGAGCAATGACGTCATTGATGACGTCCAAAGCCTCGCTTGGCCTCACTGGTTCAGGAAGGGGTTCAAATCTTGTAAATTCACAGTCCTCTGCCCTGTTAAACTCAGCCACTTTCCAGTTTTACACTAATAATATTGCCCCTCCTGCCTGTTATGAGCAAAGATTTACACACATTTGATAGCCCCATTCATTTCAAGCCAATACGTTTATTACACAATTATGTTGTATTATGATATACAATCATTATAAAATACACATTATATTCATATAAATAGATTAGTCTATGTGGAAATAGATTTTGTTTTCTTCACCGTTATTTCTTAGCCTTAACTGGCGCAAAACAGTGTATCATAGATCACATCAGGTCACCTGTAATGTATCTGCATGTTTTACACTCTTTGGCCACCAGGTGGTATTGTGAGCAAATTAAGTCTGGAGAAATGAACCCTTTTGTGAACCATTTGGATGAAAGGCTTCAATGCTTCATACGGCTTCATCTCACCATCACTACAGGCAGGGTCAAACACCAGCAAACAATCAATTAATCCAGGAAGAGACAAGAGTAATCCACAAAACAGGCGAAGGTCAGGGCAGGCAGCAAACAATCAGAAACAAGGAAACAGTCCAGGGTCAAAAAAACACAGAGGCAAGAAAACAGGGAACTAGGAAACATGGGAAAACACAAAGATGTTACAGG